TGGGCCGGCCTGGGGGCACACTGGATAGTGCACTGCTTGGGAAGCGCGGTGGCGCTCCCGCCCGAGGGTTCGGATCCCACATACAGACCGGTTCCCGCTCACTGGCTGAGCGAGGCGCGGGAGCAACACCGAGGGTTGCGATCCCGTTGCCGGTCCCCGGTCCGGTACGGGGGCAACACTGAGGGTTGCAATCCGTTGCCGGACACGGAAAAAGACAAAAAAAGACCCAAAAAAAAAGTGGTACTCCATGTACCTAATACATTAGTTAAAACAAAAGAAACTGTAAAATGAAAAGACCCCAAAAAAAAGTGGTACTCCATGTACCTAATACATTAGTTAAAACAAAAGAAACTGTAAAATGAATCCAATATATTGATCCCAATCTCCTTACCTGCTTCTTAAAGAGCATAGAGGCTACCAGGTCCTGGTGCTAAACACTTGCTAAGAAGTAGAAATACCCTTATACAAGGTCCTCCAATTCCTAGGGGTTCAGGACTTCTGGCTGTGTTCCCCAAGCAATCCCTCCAACTCTATAGGGAAAATGGCTGGAAAAACTGTGTCACTTTGGCCTCCTTTATACTAATATAAGCACTCACTATCCAACAATAGCAGCTGGAACATAAATCAAGACGAGAACTTGGTCTACATTAGCTAAAGATTTCCCACAAGTCCAAATATTTAGGTTACGCAGACTGCATTATTCTCTGATTTATCCACTGCATCAATCTGGAATTCTACAGGGCAGATTACCACACAATAATTTTAACTATACTAGTATCTAACCCAAAGGAAGGTGAAGCTGGTGAAGGGCTTCCATCACTCCTTATCTTTCTCTGTACTTCCTCCCACTTCTTCCCTACATACGTCTTAAGCTTTATCCTCTGTTTAGTCCTGATAGTTCTTTAGCCATCTAAGTACAGGAGATTAGAAAAAGCCAAAAGACACTGGAGAATCACCACATCAACAGGAGCTTTTTCATCCTTAGGTTATCTGTTCACACTGCCCAAATGAAATTTACCCTGTGAGATGAAACTTGGCACAAGTGCTACCTGTTGAGAAAAATAGTGTAAAATCTCATGCAAAGGACTAGGAAGTAGCAGGAGGACTCTCCAAAAACTGTTCATGTAAACCAGGTCTTAGAATGTTCTAATATACTATATGAAGTTTCAGAGTAAACAAATGGTTAATGACACATCTTTTGTTACACATGAATCAGCTACTGATTTGCAAGAATGGGACACACCCTAGTACCTATGACTCTAAAGTACCTGTTTGAAAGTGGACCTGGATGTCCGAATTGCCAATCCGTCCTACTGGGATTGGAACAGAATTTTACAACAATGTAGGCTGCCATAATTTAAAAAGATGAACACATTATTATAATGGAAATTAATTTGAGAACTTCGTTAATATTTTAATACCAATAATCAAAAGCAGTAGCAATACAAAGTACGGCGTAACCAATCAATCCTAGAAAGCACATAATAGCAGTTTTTGAGGGGAGGGGGTATCAGGTAACAAGATTGAAGAATAGCAAATTCAAGGATTAGAATATTCTCAGTTCTAAAGAAAAATAAATGAAATGAGACCAGAAATGAAAAAAATAACACATCTTACCTTGAGAGGTATGCAAATAGCAGTCATAGTGTCAGGAATAGTTCAGACAATACTCAGAAACGAGCAACAAGGGAGTCTTAGTAATTCCCTCAGTCACCAGGTATGAGGGGGTAGGAAAATTTTTTTGTATCAAGAAGGTATCTGAAAGAGAGGACTTTCATTTAGACTAAAAAAAAAAAAATCAAGAATATACAAATAGTTTAACCTATTTGGAGAGAGATCTGAAGTACTATTTATCTCATTATCCTAAAAAGGTGTACCAAATACAGTCCCATTTGGAAAAAAGCAAATATGTGTATGTATATCTGCATACATAAGTAGAAACAGGTTTTACATAAAAAAGAGAAATAAACATGTAACCATATTTTAGATAATATAAAATTGCTTACCAAAGAATTAGAAAACCAAAATCCCACAGAGAAAAAATAATGATTATCCAGGGTATTTTATACACATTATTGAAAGGTATTTTGTTAATTAACCATCTAAAAAAGACCCTTGCCACATTTAATTTTATTTAGTAAATTAAAACCTCTCTGATCATTCTGTCCTAAGTTTTATTACACTTAAATTAAGTTTCAGAGCCAATTCCACATAAAAAAAATATATAAAAAAGCTATTCTTGACTGAAGTACTACCAGCAAATAAAAGACCCTTCTTCCCTAAAGATCTTTAAAAGCAGACCAAACAACATAATTTTGAGGATGGGAGAGAAGCAGGTTTGCCTGGAGACAGGAGGATGGACTAAATGACCTCTTGTGGGATCCTTATTCAAGTCCTAGGCCTGAATGAAATTCCAGCTTAACCAGTTACTGCTTCGTTTAAAATGGAGGCTTGCCCGAATAGGGACAAAAATAACAGCACCCACCTCTTTAAAAATAAATTTCGAAAAATCAAAGACTTAAGTACCCGCATTTCAGAAAAATAAAAAAATAAAAAAACTGGAGTGGGTCTGTTCTTGCTATGCGTTTGTCACTTCGGCTTCGAAGACTTGGCATCACTTTCCTTACAGCTCACCGGATTTTGTTTTTTTTTGGGGGGGGGCAGAGGGGTGACTCTTGCCCCAAGTCTCAGGCGGCTATAAGAGCCCCTCCATGATCCCCACCTCCAAAGCCAGCCAAAGGAGGAGGAGGGAAAGGGAGAGCCCGAGTTCTCACCCCTCCCCCCACCTGGGACCCCAGTCCCAAACCTACCCCCTCCCAGCTTTCCGCAGCGGGGCGACTCCTTCTGCCCTATTCCCTTGTTAGGAAGGGGGAGACTGGGCAGTGGGCTCGGGTCAGGGGCGCCTGCGGCCGTTGCCCCCGCTCGCTTCAGGAGGGGCGGCCCGCGGGATGCAGCTTCCCTTCCTCTCCGCGTCGGTCCGTCCGTCCCACCTCGGCTCGGCCTGGAGCCCCGGGCTCTGCTCGGCGCCCCCGGCCCCGGCCCGCCACCCGGGCAGCCAGGCCCTCTGGCCACACGGCCGGCGGCCCAGGCCTATGGGTGGGCGCGGGGCGGGGGTCCCTGTGCCCCACACACGCGTCCCCGCTCCCCCAGCCCAGCCGCTTCCAGGGCCCTCGGCGGCGTCCGCTGCCCGGGCCCCTCGGTCCCCAGCCTCCTGGCCGGGCCGCCCCCTCGGGCTCCCCTAGTCGGGGACGCCTCCCCTTCCCCACCATCACCCCTACCCACTCGTGCCCCCACCCCCCGGGGCACCAGTGCCAACGGCGGCTCCCCCAGCCCCGGACCTACCTGCACGGCTCAACCAAGCCTAGAAGTGGGGGCGGGGAATCTTCCGCCCTCCTCTGTCTCTCATTGGCCCTTCTGGGGCACATCGTGGGCGCCATTGGCTGAGAGCGGAAGTCTGTCAGAGCGGTGGGGCGGGACAGAAGGGGGGAGAGGGATGCTGGTGCCTCCGCGTCTCTGTCTCTGTGTATCTCGCTGTCTCTGTCTCTGTCTGGGCCCTTGGAAATGAGAGGCGTTTGGACGAGAGAACTGGAAGGGGGCCTTAGGTGGGAGGAACAGGAATAGGGATCCTGGCAGAGCTTAAGGCCGGTCGGCCACTCTGAACCCCCTGCCTAAGTCCCCTTCAGGTCCTCTTCCCCATCACCCCCAACCCCTGCCCCTCACCCTTCTAGGTTCGAAATCCAGGAAGCGACTTGATGAAAACTCGAAGCCGGAAGGCCATAGGGAGAGATTTTATATATATATATATAATATATATACACACAGACACACAGACGCACACACAAATATTTATATATAAAGTCAACCAAATATAAGGTCACAAGGGCCTGGAAAGGAAACGGCACACATCTCACAGACAGGGAAGGACTTGAGATGTAGCTGATATAAGAAGAAACAAAAAATCACTTTCAGAGCTGGTAACGCTGGTTACCCCTGGGAGGGGAACTGAGTACGGAGGGGACCAGGTGGGAGGAAGACCTACATCTCACTACATATCTTATCATTTTTGTACCATATAAAGAGTTTAATTCAAAAAAAAATATTGATCTAAAAATTTTAATAGTCTAAGGTCATAAAACCAGGGGACAGACAAGATAGTTGTCCAAGAAAATTGGAACAAAGTGAGTTTGTTTTTATTAAAAGATAAAGGTAAGGGGATCTTAACCGATGACTTGGTGTTGTCAGCACCACGATCACCAAAGTCAGCTAACCGGCCATCCCTATATAGGGATCCGAACCCGCAGCCTTGGTGTTGTCAGCACCACACTCTCCCAAGTGAGCCACGGGCCGGCTCTCATGAGTTTAGGAAGGAATCTTAGTTTTTTAATATCTTCAGTTCTAGATACCAGGGCTAAAACCGAGTGGAGGTGTCCCAGAGATAACCAGAGTTATGGAACTTGGGAGAGCGTGGACAATCTGGACTAGAGAAGATGTAGGTAGGGTCCTCCATATAGATGCAGTAAAGGATAACCTCCCCCCACAAGAGAAGTGTAAAAAGACACCCACAGTTAAAGTCAGGAGGACGAAAAAGAAACAGAAAGAGGGTCAGTGAGGAAAGAGGAACAGAATATTGAAGAGGCATGAAAATTAAGGGAGGAAGGGTCTCTGGAAAAATAGAAAAATAGAATTATGGGAGCCTCACAGGTCTTGAGGCTCACTTCAGCGACCCTCATTAGGTTCTGTGTGACTAAGAATACAAGCCAAGAAAACACCCATAAATCGGAGTTCTTAACTTTTTCATGCCATAGACCCTTTTGGCAATCTGGTGACACATATTATTGTCAGAATGTTTTTAAATACATAACAAACACATATAGAAATTCAAAGGAAACCAACTATATTAAAATATGGTCTTCAAAATATTTTTTAAATATTTCTTAAAGTGTAGCCTAGAAGGGCCAGCCTGGTGGTGCACTCGGTAGAGTGCGGCGCTTGCAAGTGCAGCGGTGCTCCCACCGAAGGTTCAGATCCCATATAGAGACCGGCCCGCTCTGTGCGGGCTCAACACCAAGGGTTGCGATCACGTTGCCAGTTGCGATCACGTTGCCGGTTGCGATCACGTTGCCGGTTGCGATCACCTTGCCGGTCGTGGTAAGGGCGCGACACTGAGGGTTGCGATCCCGTTACCGGTCACAAAAAAAGACAAAAAGGAAAAAACGGTGGTGCACTCGGTAGAGTGCGGCGCTTGCAAGTGCAGCGGTGCTCCCACCGAAGGTTCGGATCCCATATAGAGACCGGCCCGCTCTGTGCGGGCTCAACACCAAGGGTTGCGATCACGTTGCCAGTTGCGATCACGTTGCCGGTTGCGATCACGTTGCCGGTTGCGATCATGTTGCCAGTCGTGGTAAGGGCGCGACACTGAGGGTTGCGATCCCGTTACCGGTCACGAAAAAAGACAAAAAGGAAAAAAAAAGTGTAGCCTAGAAATATATGTACTTTTAATTAATGTATTAAATAATCTAATGGCAGGCCTAATGGCCACCATAATTTTGAGGTCATAAATAAACATAATTATTATATTAAGATATCTGCAACAACTGTAACATAATATGGAAAATCCTGTGATTTCTGTTGATGACAAGATGACAGGGACTGCTAATACTAGTGTGGTTTGTTGTCTCCATTCATAACTGAATTTTCTATAGGACTTTAGCAAAAATAAAGGCATATTATTTTTCCTGTCTTGAGTTCACGGATTTCCTAATCTGTGGACCACGGGTTAAGAAACTCTACCCAAGAGAAATCATCATTCCCACCCTCCACACACCTGTGACTCTGCCTTGACCCCCTCATCCCTGTCTCTCTCTTCCCCTTATCCTGCTTCCAAACACTGCCTGGTTCCCAGTCCTGCCTGCAGATGCCTGACATCCCTGTGGCACCAAGAATAAGGGAGTATCAGTGTGGGCTGGAAGAAAAATATATACATTTTGTCCTTCTTCAGAGAAAGAGAAAGCTAGAGGTATACTGCAAATCTGAGATGATGGGGGGAAAGGAGCACAAGATGGGGTATCATTCATTCTCAAGAAGGAAAACAAATTATAAGAAAACACTTTTATCCGTTATGAATCTTCTCTGAGTTTATTAATTATGCTTAAATCAGCTCTAGAAAATACCTTCAGTCCAGTTCCTTATTTCATATCTGTAAAATGGGGTGAAAAATAGTACCTACCTCTTAGGGTTATTGTAAGGATTAAATTAGTTAATGCGTATAATGGATTTTAAAAGTGCCTGTCACAAGATAAATGCTCAGTTTTTAACTATCATTATTATCATTATTTGGCATCTTGTGTTCCAGGACATTCCATGAAAATTTCTGGTATGATTATTTTTATTAATAATATGAGCGATAGCAAATTAAGAGCAATAAGAAAGTAACCCATTCTGGAAGGAAGAGGAAGCAACACTTGAAAAAAAAAAGAAGAAGAAGAAGGTTAACCCATGGTACTTGTTTTTCATTTAAGTATTTCAAAATTAGAATACTACATTTCTTCCAGTTACATTTTCATTCCTCTAAAGAGAAGGATCAGTGTCTCTTTAAAGATATTGTAAACTCAGAAAGAAAATTTTTTGCTACTCATATTACAAAGGACTAATTTCCATAACACTGTTTATAAAAACCTCCTACAAATCAATAAAGACCAGCAGTCCTTGTACACTGCTGGTGGGAGTGTAACCTGCAACAGCCACGTTGGAAATGACTTTAATATAATCTAATAAAATTTAAGATATGCATCCTCTATGTCCCAGCAGTACCACTGTTATTTATTTATTTATTTTTCCTTTTTGTCTTTTTTCGTGTCCGGCAACGGGATCGCATCCCTCGGAGTTGCGCGCACACCTCACTCAGCCAGTGAGTGGGAACCGGTCTGTAAGTGGGATCCGAACCCTCGGTGGGAGCACCGCCGCGCTCCCAAGCGGCGCACTGTAGCACGGCGCCACCGGGCCGGCCGGAGCAGTACCACTGTTATTTATTTATTTATTTTTCCTTTTTGTCTTTTTTCGTGTCCGGCAACGGGATCGCAACCCTCGGTGTTGCGCCCACACCTCACTCAGCCAGTGAGTGGGAACCGGTCTGTAAGTGGGATCCGAACCCTCGGTGGGAGCACCGCCGCGCTCCCAAGCGGCGCACTGTAGCAGTGCGCCACCGGGCCGGCCGGAGCAGTACCACTGTTAGATATGTATTATAACAAAATGCAGAATTTTAAGTGACAGAATTACTGTACAAGGATATTCATAGCAGCATTATTCCTCATTGCCCCAGACTGGAAACATCCCAAATGTCTAGGCATAAAATGATCAAATTATGGTTCTAAGAGGACGGCAGTGTTTCTTTCTGTCTTTTTTTTTTTTTTTTTTTTTGGTGGCTGGCTGGTACAGGAATTGAACCCAACACCTGGTGATTATGTTCTATTTTTTGACAAGGTGATAGGTACACACACTCTATAACTTCTTATTAAGATGTACAAATAAAGTTTTATATATTTTTCTATATGTGTGATATTTCACAATAAAATATATATATATATATATATATTTTTTTTTTTTTTTTTAAAGATGACTGGTAAGGGGATCTTAACCCTTGACTTGGTGTTGTCAGCACCACACTCTCCCAAGTGAGCCACGTGCCGGCCCCACACAATAAAAATATTTTTAAAAATATATAGGGAAATGGACAAAGCATATGACAAAATTTTACAAAAAGAAAAATACAAATGGCTCTTAAAGGAATGAAAAGATGCTCATTGAAACACATGGGTTTAAAACTCCATTGAGATATTATTTTTAATCTCACAGATCAAAAAGATAAGTAATGCTTGCTCACACTGTGGTGGCAATGGAGT